GGGAAAAACCAGCGCTAGTCGCCTGAGTAATGATGACAAACTGAATTATTATGAGAACTCTTTTATGGAGGTCAACGGGAAGTAGACATCCATTTTTACCTCAGCGGCTCATCAGGGAGAATATATTTATGATGCTGGGTATCAGAAAGGAGGGAGAGAATTATATTATACAACATGCTTTCAATGACGACAACACATTTACTGCTAATTTTGGGAGATGTGTTATTACTATTACAATGAAAGTATTCTATGAATACTAATATTGTTAGCTGCTCTCAAGCTAAGGAAACGATCATAGATTGAGAAAATTATGTTCACAGACATTGCTGTAGTTATCGTTGAAGCTTGTAAACTCTTTGCTTTATGCAATGTAACATAATTTTTTGAACACATGATATCGCACCAGAATTCAGACACAACACTGATTCAAAACCTTGAACTTCAGCGAAGCTGGCCAAGTTCAATACCAACTGGGTCACTGGTCAGTGAGGTAGACAGCTTAAAACCAGAAACGATAACTCATGTTTCTTATTAAAAGAAAAAAAAAAGACCAAAAGAAAAAGGAAGAAAAAAGAAAAAAAACCCAACAAAACGAACAAACAAAATCCATACGGGACAAGTAAAATTTATCTTTACACAAGACGCCGTGCTTTTTATACTGGCGAACTGGAGAAGAGCCTTTAATTCGAAGGTCAATTTGACGTTAATATATTATAGGCCTTTGTACACACCGAGCCAATCCGAACTCAATTCCAGCTTCACAAGACGAGCCAAACTGGGCACTGAGGCGAATAGGCTAGCAAAAGATCCTCCCAGCATCAATACAAGCCACGAACCATCTAATAACAAACCGTCCCGCCATGAGACTTGCCTCCCTACCCCGTACCCCCGGCCGAACCCCCGCACCCCTGCAGATTTAGTAGGCAGCAAATAACAAATCTCTCAGCCCGAGTCTCCACACACACTGGCATTCTTTGCGCACCTCGCCAACGCTGTATCTATCCGGAGACGTCTCCGACGGAGATAGACCAATCAAAATGCTTTGTGCCTCTAGAGCAAGTAAAAAATGTGGGGGATTACAGGGAGGTATGCCCTTCAGTTTTATCCCATACTTTGATATTTTGCAGTTAGGTTTGCAATTTTCTTGAAAATAATTGATTTTCGACTGTTTTAGTGCCTATAGATCTATGTGTGATCTGCAGCAAATAATATGCATCTGTGTGCGGGAGTGCGTCTCCGAATAGTTCCTGGGTGCTTGCCGGAGACGCCTCCGAATATCTTCTGCCCCTCGCCGACGTCATGCTGGTCTCCTGAGTTCCCCTAGACCAGAGTAGAATTATGTGGAGTCCACACTTGTCAAACTTGTCTAGTCTGTTTAGAAGGATTTGAACGGGGAACACAGGATCCGTCAAAGCAAATGCATTACACTTGATCTTTAAAGAAAAATTAATTTTAACAAATCATAAGAAAATTAACTTTTTTCACTCCGAAGTCTGACTCGCGCTGTCAGTCACTCGGCATATTAGATACGAGAGGCAAAAGACATTTACTTTTTTTCATCCATCACTGATCTTTATAAACCATACGAACTTGAATGCTTTTGAAAATCATCATTTATGTAATAATAATAATAATAATAATAATAATAATAAT